TCTAGACCCCTGTGAGCTGACCGGGCATCTCGATCCCCATCATAGTCAGCGAAGTGGCAAACATGAAAGAATTAAACACCACAAACTTCTCTGCAAGGCACGATTCGGGTTGGATTCGCATCTAAAAACTCATAACCTCACTGAAATAAAAATGCGAATTAAAATTACAACTCAAAGGAGTTTTGTCAAACGGAATTGCCAAGAATAAAAACCTAACACTTTAGAAAAAGAATACTCGTTTTGAAAAAAATATAATTAGTTTTATATTTTTATTATAATTATATTAAATTTTTTTAATATGATTAAAGCGATCAAATTAATATCAATAATAAATAGATAGTGAAATAAACAAACATAATTTTAATAATATAGTAAGATTCAGCAGCCCCCCAATCACCCCCATCCCTTAATTTTGTGTGACAATAACAAGAATTTTTCATACATGTGCACTTGTTGTGGTTTGCCTTTTGATGGTTCTTCTTCTACTTCTGCCTTCTACTTCTGTGATCTGTGTATGCCTTCAGTGCAACACCTTGCAACACAGATCATGCGCCAAGTTGCCTTGGAATATAGAGCACCACCCTTTTCACCCTCCACATCCTCTCATCCTCAAACCTAGGACACCTTATCATGCCAGTAGCATATTATTTAAGTACAGTGCCGGTAGGATGGAACAGTCTAGTTTTTTCTACTACTGTTCTCAGTGTGAGTTTAATCTGGATGTTCATTGTGCTTGTTTGAAGCCTACCGATCCTGAAACCAGTGAAAGTTGTGGTCAGCTGCTGTTGTTGTTGCAGGATCATCACCAGCAAAACAATATTCAACAACTACAACTAAAACTATAAATAGTAGTACAATACAACTTAGGCACCCCCATTTCTTGATTTTGTGCTCCAATAAACAGAATTTCCCTTATCCATGCTACGCGTGCGATCTCCCCATGGTGGATGATGATTCTATTTATTTTTTTCCTAAATGCAATGTCATGCTACACAAATCATGTGCTGATTTCCCCAAGGAACCAATGATCACCTCTTTCACCCACTGCACCCACTCACCCTCCGCTTTGATATTCTCAACTACAACTACGACTACTTGAAATGCTACGCATGTTACAGAAATTTTAAAGGTTTTTTCTACAAACATTCAATGTGCTTTGTCAAAGCCCACCACTATGATGTCTGAAATTCACCACCACCCTCTCTTTTTCTTTAACTTTTCAAATGTTTATTTGAGCATCCATGCTTGTCGTTGGCACTGTTACACCCCTTTCTTTAGATGCTTAAAGGACGATTTCAATATCCATGTCCATTGTATTTCAACCTTACCACCTACCATCAAAGCTTATCATCGCCATCCCCTCACTCTTACCAAATCTTTAATTAAAGACTATCCAGATGAAGACGATGGTGTAGAGTTTTACTGTGACATTTGTGAAGAAAGAAGGGAACTAACTGCTCCAAGTTAATGTTAGCTTTTGTGCCCTCAAAAATCAATTTGTTGACTTTATTAATTTATTATATAAAATTGCTTGGCATTTTATTTTGCATTTTGTATATTATTATGAGTAATGTTATATTTAATGTTACATATGATGTGAACATAAGGTCCCTTAAGTAACATTGTAGAAAAACATGCTAATGGTTAATGAACCAAAAGCTGAGAGTTATGATTTTTCGGTGCCTTGTAGACCCAATTAATGTTCTAGGCTATGGGTGTTGATTGGGCGTCACACTACTATGGCCTACACCTGTTTTGCTACTATATGATAGAATGATTAACTCCATCATTGAGGTAGTGACCTTAAACAAATAGATAGGTGTTATGCAATAAGTACATGCACTGAATAGAATCGGTTTCGAGAACACCTATGGAATGATCACTGTCAGTTTAAAAGGTAGTTCTATTACAATACACTTATTTTCCTTTGATCTAAGAGACTTGTATAAATTAATTAACTATTCATTTAACTTTGATATTATCAATCAGTGATGCCAAACCACACGGACATGTTGGGTTATGTGAGTGGTAATTGATTTATATAGATGCTTAACATGGAACCCACCATTCTCAAAGTGAGAAAGTATATTCAAGTAAATTTTCCTATTAACACCAAAAGAAAATCAGCCGGTTACTTTTTCATAAAAATATTTCTATACATATATAATTACAAAAGTACTATTTTTGAAAATGTTTTTGGGGTCCAATTAGAAAAAGGAAAAATTTAAAATTCGGTTACATAAGTTAGGGTTTTTGATAGTGATAAATTTGTCTATACTTAGTAGCTCATGTGGAATATAGTTTGGTGGAAGGAAATTTGTGACTAATTGTAAGAAAGGTCATCACTTGTAATTCTCTACTTTTAGGGGATTTAATTGTAATGTATTGATGGACCTTATTGCAATTAGTGGAAGTTCTATATTATTTGTTTAAAAGATAATTAATGAAAAAATTGGATAGGTTGTATCCTGTATATTTAAGATAAAAGATATCTCTTTTATTTTATCCCCACAACTAAAAGATAGAGATCCCTAAGAATCCCACATACATGCAAATTCTATCATGTGTTGTGTATATATATTAGATGTATTTGATACAAAAATTGACCATCAGAATTTTCAAGGTCTGTAGAAAAATATACACAAAAATAAAGCACAAGAGGGTGAGAGATGAATCACTTTGGAGGTGAGACACTTGGATCGCTTGGTGAGGTATTATCAAACGCTTAGAGGAGGTATTATAGATTGTGTAATTAAGTGATATTTCTTTGAAAAATTATTTTTCAAAATAAATTATTTTTTCGCAAACTTTTATTGATATCAAAATTACACCACTTTGATTGCATGAATCTATATATATATATATATATATTTTGTTTTTCATATTTTGATAAAAATATTGAATATTCAATATTGTTTGGCAATTATTATTTTATTATTGCTTATTGTTGATGGCATGTGCATATCAATGATTACAATTTCGTAAAAATAAAAAAAATAAAAAAAGGGTAACAGTTTGTAATTGATATAATTAATTGCTGAATAGTTCGCACCCCATCTGTTTGTTTTTCTTTTGGTTGCTGGATTAGTCTAAAGAAAATTATTCTTCTTCTTATTATTTTTCCCTCACTTGGGTGCTTTTGTGTTATTTGTATATGAAAATATATATATATATATATATATGATTTGTATATAAAAAATAATGTTTTTCGTACTATAACTAATCGTCCTGAATTTGATATATGTTGTACATATAATGTAGAGTATAACAGTAAAATTTTGTAAAAATTAAACGGTCGAATTTTGAAAAAAATTGATATTTATATTTATTTTTTATAATTTTGACTACATATTATTTTTACATACTTTATTTTTATATTACGAAAATTATATATTTAAAATCCTTATTTTGAGACATTTGAAATCATATATTATGGGTTTAATTACGATTTCCAGTTGAGGAGTTGGGGTGTAGAAACCGTTAAAGCCATTGAGCTGACGTCACTGATACGCGTGATGACATCATCCACTTCTACCACGCGCTGGTGCGGGCGTGGAACTACTAAGTCCCTGTTTGTTTGGTTTTTAATTTAAAACTATGTTAATTGCTTTTATATTATTTTTTATAATTCTGATTGAAGAACGGCTTATGACGTTGGACTCGTAATTAATTTTTGCACAAGATGTTAAAGTTTCATAATTTTATAGAAAATAAAATATTTTCATTAGTGAATAATTTAATAGTTTTACGTTAAATTGCTCTTAAGGGAGCATGACTTAGATTCTGGATTTGAAATTTTTACAGTAGCCTACTATTAAGTAATTTTATTTTAATGGTAAATTTGTGTATTTTTCAGATTCTGTAATATTTATTTCTGATTTTCTGTGTAATTATTAATCACTTATAATTCTAGAAAATATCAGAAAATTACAGAAATTATAGAAATATGTTACGAAATTATTTAAATATTGTATACAACATGTTAAGATCTTTTAAATGATTAGAACTTGTAGTATATTATTATTTTAAATAACATGATTTATTTATATTGATGAATTTTAATTCGATGATTAATTCAAGCATGTTTTCTTTCATGAATTGCATTGAGATGTTATCATGTGGAATTAATATTTTATCATGCTTTAGACATGCCATAGTTAGTGGGAGGTTGTTCGATTGGGAAAAATCTTTATAGATTTTCTTCCAAAAATTATTTTTACTGTTGATGGCATGTAACCATATTCATGTATATATATATATGTATTGTGGGTTTTCATGTTACTTATGATAACATGAAAATTAATTTGCTAATGTATGGGGATAAATTAGTTAAAAATGTTATTGGTACCCCATTTTAATAATTAAGTGTTAAATAGGATTATTTTAAGAAAAATAATGCCTATAGCCCTCCATTGTTGGTAAATAAAAATTCTGATTAATTGAGATTCAAATGATGCCAACAAGGGTCGGTTGGGTTTTAATTAATTTGTTTGTTTTATTTATTTTGTGAAAAGTATAAGTGTAACTAGTGGGAGTGCCGGCTAAAATGAAGGCATAATCTTACATGTTCATGCTATGTATCTAAACAATGGTTTGCACTTAGACAAATACTATATGGTAACCAAAAGGTGTTATATGAGTTGATTTGGAGGCCAAAAGAAAAATTGGGAGTCATAAATAAATTTATTTAATTTTTCTAAAAGAAAAAGAAAAATGATAACATGAGATGATATTATGATGGGTAGTAGCTACCCACCCATTCAAGGTATGTTCACTTATTTCAAAAGAAATTTTTGTACATACAGGGTTGGTTTCCCAATGCTCACTATGAATGTTTTAAATATAAGTGTCATATTTGTGGGGTTATAAATTGTTTGAATAATAATTCTAGTAAGCATTACCATAGTAGATTTAAAATCCCGCATCCTATGGATTTATATACAATGCAGTGCTTATATTCTTCTGACACATGTTTTAATTTTTAGCATATGCAGTTAAAAATGACCAACTTTAATCATTTGTCCAAAATTCTTAATGATAATCGTTTGACTGGATCAAACTATATGGATTGGAAGAGAAATTTAACAATTGTCCTCATTGCTGAAAAACTAAACCATGTCCTAACCACTGATCCACCTGCGTTTCCTGAGGCAGATGCCACTAATGAACAACGTGAGGCCGCTTGGAAGTGGCATGAGGCAGATGATGTTGCAAAATGCTACATATTGGCCTCAATGACCAATGTGTTGCAAAAGCAGCATGAGGGTGTTCCTACCGCAAAAGACATGATGGTTAATTTGAAAGAAATGTTTGGAGAACATAGTAGAATTGCACGCCAAATTGCCACGAAAGGTATGATGTCCACCAAAATGGTGGAAGGTACTCCAGTACGGGAACATGTTCTGAAAATGATATATTTCATTAACATACTGGAAACTTTGGGTGCAGATATTGATGATGAAACTAAAATTGAAGCGATACTTTCATATTTACTAGATTCTTATAATTAGTTTATTTTGAATTACAATATGAATAAGATGATTGTTGCACAATTAGAGCTACTCAATATTGTGCAAGCAGTAGAGGATCTTATTAAAAAGAGCCAACCCACTGTGATGATCAGTGAGAATGAAGGTCCTAGAAAATTCAAGCCTAAGGGCAAGAATAATTTAAAAAAAGAATCTATGGGCTCTAAGTTCTCTAGAAAAGCACAAGGTGTTTTTAAAAAGGGCATAGATAAAAAGAAAAAATAAAGGAAATTGTTTCCATTACGGAAAGCTTGGCCATTGGAAGAGAAACAGCCGTCATTATTTGGCAACATGGAAAAATGGCAAACCTTCGGAAGGTATGTTAAATCTATTTGTTATTAAAACCAATTTATTTATTGGTCCTCCTAATGCTTGGTGTGTAGACTCTGGTGCGACCTCACATATTTGCAATATGTTGCAGGGGTTTAAGGAGACCAGAAGTCTTAATAAAGGGGAGATGCTAATAAAGTTGGAAACAAGTGCAGCAGTTGCTGCAGTTTCCATAGGAACTTTTTATTTGGAATTATTATAAGACTTTAGTTTTAGAAGATTGTCTATTTGTGCCAAATATCCGTAGAAATTTAATTTCTGTTTCAAAGTTAATTTTGTTGGGATATTGTTTTTTCCTTTTCTTCAAAAGTTGTTTTTTAACACAATAATAAACTTGTGGTTTCTGGCATTTTAATAGATGGTCTTTATTTTATTAGTCATGTTGATAATTCTATTAATTGTGTTAAGAATAATATATCCACTGGTATGTTACCCCTTAAAAGAAAAAGGGATATTAATCAAATTTACGTGTGGCACTTGATACATGGTAATATCAATTTAGAGCGTCTAAATAGATAGGTCAATGATGGGCTTTTAGAATTTTTTTTTTTTTGAAAATCGAGCCTTATCCAATTTGTGAGCCCTGCTTGCAAGGAAAAATGACTAAAATTCCATTTTTAGGAAAAGGAATTAGAGCCACATAAGCTTTGGGATTAATACTCACAGATGTTTAAGGTCCAATAAATCACATAGCAAGAGGTGGTTCTTACTATTACATTCACCGATGATTATTCTAGGTATGATTATTTGTACCTAATGAAACATAAGTCTGAATCCTTTGAAAAGTTCAAAGAATTTCGTAGTGAAGTAGAAAAGCAATTTGGAAAAAGTATCAAAGCTCTTCGATCAGATCGTGGGGAGAATACCTTTTAGATGATTTTCGAAATTATTTAAAAGAGAATGGTATTAAATACATGTGTAATTGGTTTTGAGTGCAAGTGGGAGAATGTTAGTATTTGTACCCTCAAAAACCAATTTGTTGACTTTATTAATTGGTTATATAAAATTGCTTGGCATTTTATTTTGCATTTTGTATATTATTATGAGTAATGTTATATTTAATGTTACATATGATGTGCACATAAGGTCCCTTGAGTAACATTGTAGAAAAACATGCTAATGGTTAATGAACCAAAAGCTGGGAGTTATGATTTTTTGGTGCTCTATAGACCCAATTAATGTTCTAGCTATGGATGTTGATTGGACGTCGCAATACTATGGCCTACACCTGTTTTGCTACTATATGATAAAATAATTAACTCCATCATTGAGGTAGTGACCTTAAGTAAATAGGTGGGTGTTAAGCAATAAGTACATGCACTGAACATAATCGGTTTTGAGAACACCTATGGAATGATCACTGTCAGTTTAAAAGGTAGTTCTATTACAATACACTTATTTTCCTTTGACTTGAGAGGTTTGTATAAATTAATTAACTATTTATTTAACTTTGATATTGTCAATCGGTGATGCCAAACCAAAGGCTATACACGGATATGTTGGGTTATGTGAGTTAGGCTTTTTGATAGTGATAAATTTGTCCATACCTAGTAGCTCATGTGGAATATAGTTTGTGACTAATTGTACGAAATAGCCTCACTTGTAATTCTCTACTTTTAGGGGTTTAATTGTAATGTGTTAATGGACATTATATATTATCTGTTTAAAAGATAATGAAAAAATTGGATAGGTTGTACCCTGTATATTTAAGATAAAAGATACCTCTTTTATTTTATCCCCACAACTACAAGATAAAGATCTCTAAGGATCCCACCTACATGCAAACTCTATCATGTGTTGTGTATAGATATCAGATGTATTTGATACAAAATTGGCCATCAGAATTTTTAAAGTCTGTAGAAAAATATACACAAATGTAAAGCACAAGAGGGTGAAAGGTGAATGTGTAAGGTAAATCACTTTGGAGGCGAGACACTTGGATCGTTTGGTGAGATATTATCTGTTGGACCATTTTAATATCCTTTATTTATTTATTTATATATTTTTGTTCATGAATCTTCTTTTGTTTTAGTCATGAATCTTATCTTATTCATGAATGGAGGTTAATTAGAATTCATGAGCTTAGTGGTGAGTTATTATTTGGAGTCTCTCTATTTTCTCTTTATTATTTGGAGTCTCTCCATTTTCTTTTATTTAATGGTCATTATTTTTTGGTGTAATTTGTAAGGTCCTAGTGGCCTATAAATAGTTCATCTCATCTACTCTTTTCTACACCAACACATCAACTATTTTCTATACAAGAGAGATTACTAGCAAAGAAGGGTGTTTTTCTTGGTGGAGCTTTGGGTTCACCATCTTGTGCAGAGTTGGCCTGAACCATACGACAAGTGGTCGGGCTGTTGTGTCCTGGAAGGGACAAGTCATAGTTTTGTGACTGCTGCATCGGTATTTGGGTTCTTCCTACTGCAGTGGGCTTAATCTCCTTAAAGAAAACAAGATATCCGTACCTCAGCCTGATCTATTTGTATCTCATTTTCTTTGCATTATTTATCAATTAAATATAATTTTTTCTGGTATTTTCACCAACAATTTTGAGGAGATCAAACATGGATCAAGTACCAGAAAAAACAAATGAAGGAATTGGAGATCTCAACAAGCCTTTCAAGTTTAAGGGAGTTCATTTTAAGAGATGGAAAGGAAAAGTTCTTTTTTACCTCAGCTTTTTGAAAGTTGCATATGTTCTTACCGAGAAGATCCCAAACAAAATCCCAACCGAGGAGATGAATGATGAAGACTACGAGGCACATGAAACAACAGTGGCTTCCTACAATACATATGCATATAAATGTCATTTTATCTCTTAAATTTCCTTGCTGATTAATTTTATGATTATTACTATGGCACTACTTACATTTTGTCTTCTATTAATTTTTTGGCATATTCGTTTGTGTCATATAAAAATTAAATATGTGGGAATCATGAGTAGTTTAGGATTAATTCCTAAAGTGACAAAATTTTTTGAGAAATGTAAAGTTTGCAGTAAGGCAAAAATTACCAAGAGGCCTCACAAAAGTGTTGATAAAAATACCGAATTGCTAGAATTATTTCATACTGATTTATGTGAGTTTGAAGGAATTTTAACTCGGGGTGGTAACCGATATTTTATCACTTTTATTGATGATTTTTCAAAATACACAAACGTATATTTATTAAAAAATAAAAGTGATGCTTTTGAGAAATTTAAAGAATTCCTTCTTGAAGTGGAAAATCAATTCGGTAAAAAGATTAAAAGAATTAGAAGTGATAGAGGTCGAGAGTATGAATCTTTTGGATTCAACTCTTTTGTTCAGTCTTTGCGAATTATTCATGAGACTACTCCACCATATTCACCTTCATCTAATGGCGTAACTGAAAGAAAAAATAGAACATTAATTGACTTGACGAATGCTATGCTTATTAATTCAAGTGCTCCCTCAAATCTTTGGGGTGAGGCTATTTTGATAGCTTGCCATATGATAAATAGAGTGTCACACAAAAAAACTAAAATTGTACCTTATGAGTTGTGGTGGGGACATAAACCAAATTTAGGTTATTTGAGGGTTTGGGATTGTTTAACTTTTGTGAGGCTTGCAGATCCTAAACGACCTAAATTGGGTGAACGAGCTACCACCTGTGCTTTTCTTGGGTATGTGTTGCATAGTACAGCTTATAGATTTTTTGATATGGAAAATAATATTATTTTTGAATCAGGTGATGCTATTTTTCATGAAAATAAATTTCCTTTCAAATCTAGAAATAGTGGAGGTCAAATAATTTCTGAAAATATTTTATCCATGCATAGCTCTTCTACTCCTTCTCAAGTTTTTCATGAACAAGAAAATTGTCAAATCCAACCAAGAAGAAGTAAACGAGCTAGAGTTGAAAAAGATTTTGGCCCTGACTATTATCTTTATACTGTGGAAGAAATTCCTCTTACGGTGCAAGAAGCTTTATCATCACCTGATGCTATTTTCTGGAGAGAGGTTGTAAATGATGAGATAGATTCACTACTTTCAAATAAAATATGGGAGCTAGTGGATTTACCTCCAGGTTGTAAAACTATTGGGTGTAAATGGGTCATTCGTAAAACACTTAAACTGGATGGAACTATAGATAAATATAAAGCAACGCTTGTCGCTAAAGGTTTTAAGCAACAAGTTGATCTTGATTTCTTTGATACTTTTTCTCCGGTTACTAAAGTTACATTCATTAGACTGTTAATAGCGGTGGCTGCAATTCATGATTTAAAAATTCATCCAATGGATGTAAAAACACATTTTTAAATGGAGATCTAGATGAGGAGATTTACATGGACCAACCCAAAGGCTTTGTGGAGCCTGGCCAAGAAAGCAAGGTGTGTAAGCTAACTAAATCCCTTTATGATTTAAAACAAGCTCCTAAACAGTGGCATGAGAAATTTAATTCTTGCATGCTTGAGAATGATTATAAGACTAATGAATGTGATAAGTGCATATATTATAAAACTTAT